TTTTAAAAGAGCTTCAATCCATTTTAACAATAAACTACTAATTCCATATGAAGATAGTTTAATCAATAGTCTTTTGTGAGCGACAGAACCAAAAGCTTTAACAAAATCTAAAAGTGCTTCATCTACCGAAATACCAATCGATAAATTAAATGAAATATAATCCAACGCCTCTAATAAGTTTGTTGTACAAGATTTCTAACAAAACCATGTTGTAACTTCGATATTAATCTATATTTCATTAGATATGATTGTATGCAGTCTCTGACTATACCTTCTATAATTTTACAAGTAATTGACGTCAATGACACTGGTATATTATGCAGTTAATATTCTGTTAATAAAAGAATGTTATGAAATATATGAAATAGTTTCAGTCAAACTTGTACTGACTTCATCGAAAAATTTTAGAAATTTAGACCATCCATTGAAATTTGGACCATCCATTGAAATTTGGACCACCCATTGATATTTGGACCATCCATTGAAATTTGGACCATCCATTGATATTTGGACCATCCATTGATATTTGGACCATCCATTGAAATTTGGACCATCCATTGATATTTGGTATAGCTTTTATATTTCCAAATTTTTAATAATATCCTTGAAATGAGTCAATGAGTCAATAATTGGTGTGTTGTATGATCTAAGAAACTTAATCCAAAATAATGGACATTTACACAACTTTTATAAACATCCCAAAATCTAATATAAATATCAATTTCAGAAGTTTGAGTGACCTCGTTTAAACTCTCATTAAAAGAATAGACATGGATGCCTGACATTTTTAAAATTTCTAACAAAACTGATTTAAAATAAGGGGCTAAACCATGATTTAACTCGTATGAAGTTTTGCTTTGACCCATCTGAAATTGTAAAGCTATGGCACTGTCGGGAAACATAGCTGTGAAAACATGGTTTAAGTCATCTGTCATTAAATGATTGGAACATAGAGAATAACCACTATCCACAATTTTAGGCTGCCAAATAATTTTAGCCTTAGTAGTATCTAGTTTTTTGACACACAAGTCTAATGTCTTTTATTTTTCTGTAACTGACTCATTAGATTCAGAAAAGACAGATGGTAAAAAACTTTTTTCTTTTGGTTTTGTAAAGAATCCTTTCACTTTTCTTAACTCTCTACTGTGCTATGCTCCTTTTGTGTGATCTGTCAAGATCCCCACTTGAATAAAGTTCTATTGATCTGTGACAAATCACACATCTTGCTTTAGTATCATCTTTAGGATCTTTTTTAGCCAATCTTTAAAGTTATCATTTCTCAACCAGTCATCTTTAAATCGTCTTTGATGCTTCGATGTTGCTTAAAGCATTAATTTTCCAGCATGTTTTTTTAAAAAAAGCCTTTTTTCCAGTTTTTCCAGCAGAGTGGACACCCTGTTATTAGTTCCTTAAAAAAGTGAGATTGGGCATATAAGAAAAATTAAATTGAACAAAATTAATAATATTCTTAGAAATAAATTAAATTTACAACTATGGAAAAATACCACTGATGTTATAAATTGGTTCTCCTGAAAATAGAAATGACTGTACATTTATTCAATTTGACATTAATGATTTTTACCACTCAATAACTGCAGATATTTTAGAAATTGAATTTATTAGCACACAGTTATTCCAGAAGAGATGATCCGTATAATAAAATATTGCAGTAGAACTTTACTTTATTTTAATAAGGAAATCGGAAAAAGAAAAAAAAAATTTGTGAATTTCTTAGACTATATGTTCTAGATTAAAATAATTAATATAAATGATTTAGCCCTTTATCGTGACAATGGTTTAATAGTAATGCGTAAAAAATCTGGTCCACAGCTTGATAAAATTAGAAAAGATATTATAAATTTTTTTTTTAATATTGGCTTTCAAATTGAAATTAGCATAAATTTAAAAATTGTGAATTTTCTTGATTTTACATTTAAACTCTCTGAAAATTCATACAAGCCTTTCAAAAAACAAAACGATGAACTATTGTGCATTAATATTAACTCAAATCATCTTCCTCAAATTCTAAAACAAATCCCAATTTCAATTAATAACAGCCTAAACCAAAACTCCACTAATGAAAATGTATTCAATTCTTCTAAACGAATTTTGGAAGATGCCCTTAAAAAAAATGGTTTTCAAAATTTTGAACTAAAATTTGACCCTGAAAAAATAAAAGCAAAAAAGTGAAATAAAACTAGAAATGTAATTTGGTTCATATAGCAAAAATGTCTCCACTATCATAAGAAAAGTGTTTTTAAAATTGGTTGATAAGCATTTCCTGCCCTCTTATAAATTACATAAATTTTTTATTCGAAATACAATAAAAGTTAGCTACAGTTGCACAAAAAATATGGAAAGAATTATAAAAGGCCAAAATAATGCTTTATTAAACAAAAAAGAAATCCTGAATGAAAAAACTACAGAAAATTGTAATTGTAAGTAAAAAAGCAATTGTCCAATGAGTGGAAATTACTTATCGAAAAAACGTGGTATATGAATGCGTTGTTTCCTCCTAGAATGTACCTGATAAATAATATATTAGCTTAACAGAAGGTGAATGGAAAAAACGTTTTGCCAATCATAAGCAATCTTATAAAAATAAAAAGTATTCAAAAGACACAATGTATATATATATATATATATATATATATATATATATATATATATATATATATATATATATATATATATATATATATATATATATATATATATATATATATATATATATATATATATATATATATATATATATATATATATATATATAATGAGTTTGATTAAAAAGGCAGCGTAAACAACTTTTTGTTTTAAATATATTTTGATGTTAATATATATTTTTATATTTATATGTAATGTAAATATAAAAATATATATTAACACCAAAATATATTTAAAACAAAAAGTTTATACGCTGCCTTTTTAATCAAACTCATTATATATATATATATATATATATATATATATATATATATATATATATATATATATATATATATATATATATATATATATATATATATATATATATGTATATATATATATACATATATATATATATATATATATATATATATATACCTATATTTATGTGAGTTTATATATATATATATATATATATATATATATATATACCTATATATTTAAAAAATACAATAACAATGACAAGAAACAAATAATGTAGAAATAATACCTGAAAATTAATTACATATCTAACTCAACCTTGAGAGCCTCTCAATATTTGCATATAGGGGAATTTTCTTTTTTAATTTTCTTTTTTAGGGGAATTTTCTTTTTTAATTAAGCTGCTACTTTGTCAATTGTTATGATTGATTGTTTTTTGAATTATTAAAAAAAATTGGCTTTTTTTAACTTACAGTTTTCTGTCGATGCATATTTCATTCTCCCCAAATATAAGGGTATATTAAAATAGTTTTTTTTTATTTAATGAAAACTTCTTCATTTTTAATTTCTTTGCAAAAAGAATAAGCACATATAATATTTTTATTATTTCATATTAATATTTAACTTCAAATATCATTAATTAGATAACGATGGTTGAAGCAAAGTTTTAATATAAAAAATAAAGACATTTTTGATTACTTGTTTAACGGAAAATAAATCAAAATGAAACGAAAAATAAAAATAAATAGTGTCATTGATTTCAAAATGATATCTCAAACGCAATCAAATTTAGAACACTAAAAAACGATGAAACACTTTTAAATAAATTAAATGAAATAATTAAACAAAAAAAAGTGATTTATAAATCATTAAAAAAACTGGTTAAATGCAAAATTAAATGCAAATAACTTTAACAACATGATAAAAACCTCACAACGAGATTTTTAATAATGTTTAAGCAAAGTGGAAGTTTCAAGATTACTGAAAAATATGAGATACAACAAAAGCCTGTTTTATGCTCTTAGTCTTAATAAAGAAGAAATGCTATAAGATGGCAAAGTTCTACAACATCTTTAGTTTCTAGAGGCTGTGTTAGCCTCCCGTGACCGAAGAGACTTTATTTCTTAATTTTGCCTCAACTCTATCTAAACTTTTTAACCATAAAACAATTACTTTTACAAATATGGCCGCAACGTAGAGAAAAAGTTGAGGGTGTTACTATCAGAAACATAAAAAAAAGACAAGAAGGTAATTATAGTAGGGCAGGGTATAATCAGTAAATTTCAAGTTGTTAGCTTAAAAATAACTACGATTTTTGTCTTAAATGTGACATTCCTGAACCACTGGGTGTTTTCTAGTGAAACATAAAGTTTTCTAGATAAAACATTTTTAGTGACATTAAAATTTAAGAAACTTTGTTCGTTTTTCTGTTTGAAGGATTTTTTAAAAATATAATACTGTTTCTATAGCAATATAATACTGTTTCTATAACAATATAATACTGTTTCTATAGCAATATAATACTGTATCTATAACAATATAATACCGTTTCTATAGCAATATAAAACTGTTTCTATAACAATATAATACTGTTTCTATAGCTATAACTAAGCTCTAGCTAAATAAATATTTTATTCGATCTTTTTCTTCCAATAATTTAATTGACTTTTTATCCTTTTCTTTTTTAATATTTTATATACCTAATCTTTATTTTTTAAATATTATTAAGCTTTTGTTTATTTTTCAAAACTTTCTAACCAGATTTTTATAACTTTAATTTATAGTTTATTTTTCAACAAAAGTCTTGCTTTTGTTCTTGCTTAATAATAAAGTAGGAAAAAAAGTTTGTTTTTAATATAATATTGTTTTACTTGTTTTTAATATAATATTGTTTTACTTGTTTTTAATATAACATTGTTTTACTTGTTTTTAATATAATATTGCTTTACTTGTTTTCAATATAATATTGTTTTACTTGTTTTTAATATAATATTGTTTTACTTATTTTTAATATAATATTTTTTTACTTGTTTTTAATATAAAGTTGAGAGAAAATTTTTTATATAGTACAAGTAATTTATTTTTTTATTTAGTAATTATCATAGAAAAAATCAAAGAAGATAATAATATATTACCTGGTTTTGCAGTTATTCGTGTATGTAGATTTTATCGCCTACTTCAGTTTTTACCATTTACCAAGGGCATAAAAAAACTTTTGTTCATTTTAATTAAATCAGGGCCTGCTCTGTTTAACGTTGGATTTTTGGTTTTTCTTATAACATTTATTTACGCCGTTATTGCAATGAACTTGTTTAGTAACTTGAAACTTCAAGGTTCCCTAACAAAAGTCACTAATTTTAGAACTTTTGTGAGTAGCTTTTCTTTAATGTTTCGAATTGCAACTGCTGCAGGATGGAATAATATTCTTGAAGCAGCTATGGTTCAACATCCTTCTTGCTACAAAAATCTTGAAAAAGGTGGCTTTGCAAAAAGAGATTGCGGTAATAAACTCGTGACAATCATTTTTTTTGTGTCTTACATATTTTTAATTACACTCGTTATCGTTAACATATATATTGCACTAATTTTAGAAAATTTTGATCAAATTGTATTACAAAATGATTATCAAATAACTGATGACGATATTGAAGCCTTTTACAAATCTTGGGAAAATTTTGATCCCGAGGCAACGCAGTTTATAAGTTATTACAAGTTATCAGATTTCCTTGATTCTTTAGATGGACCTTTAAGAGTAGCAAAACCAAACTATTGGTTTTTAGAGCAAAGTGATATACCAATCCGAGACCAATTTAAATGCCATTGCTTAGATGTGATAGAAGCATTGATAAATTTTTTTTTAGGTGAACCAGTTTTTAAAAACAGTGAAGAAACTACCGCTTTCATAAGAAATTTTTATTCCAGATGTGAAAAAAAATTCCCTTTATGGGCCGAAAAAAACACTGTTGAATTCACTAGACAACGTTTGCAAAAGGAAAATGCTTCTGCAAAAAGAATTCAGAGTGCATTTCGAAATTATTTATTAAAAAATGAATTGCCTTTAATAAATTCAATGAAGGCAAGTCATGGGAAACATAGAGATAAAACATTTTCTAATATAGAGCGGCTTGAGGTGGCAATATGGAAAGCAACCGAGTATAATGAGGAGATGATAGAAAAAAGTATGAACAATGAAGATAATTTTGATGAAGACTATGATACAGAAAAAGATGATGAAGGTGAAGATAACAGTGATAGCAAAGAAGATAACAAAGTAATTTTTTTGTTTGTTTGTTCTTTTATATAAACGTTACGAATACGTGATCGTAAGTATAAATTGATTCGTTTAAAATGTATAAAAATATATAATAAAACAAATTCAGTACAAATAACACAATTTTTTTACAGATATAACTTGCGATTGGTACAAATAAATATTACATGGCTTGTTATATTTAAGATACAGACAGACATAAACAAAATATAAATAAAACCTATCATTTGTTTTAATTTATAGTTAACATCAAGGTTTTTTAGTTTTGGTTGATAAAGTTGTTTATGTATAGAACGAGTTTTTTAATAAAAGAATAAGATTTTCAGAGAATTTGAGTTTTTTAATATTGCGATTGGAGTTTTTTTGAATTTAGTTTTTTATGAAGATAAAGGTCGCAATATAAAATAGAGGAACGTGATAGTTTTGTTTTTTTATATGGTACATTAAAATTTTCTATTCCTTGAGTACCATATCTATTTCTATTGCACTTAGAAAACTCTTTTGAAACATGTGATGAAACAAGCCCAAGTTTGTATTTTACCATAATTAACTAGTATTAACTTTATAAACATTTAGTACATTAATTTAATATGAGTGAACTTATCATTATTAAAGATTATTGCGGCATATTTTTGATGTCGATAAAATGCTTTTAAGTTTAATCTATAGGTACTCGCCCAAATTATATTACCATATGAAAAATAGGTTTGTTTATAAAAAATATAGATGCTTTAATGTTTCTTGGGTTAACATAGGTCTAAGTTTGTAAAGTATATTTTTTTTAATTTTGTTGAAGAAAACCTAACGGTATATAACGGTATATAAACCATAGCACCGTGGAAGAGCATTTAACTAAGAAGTTCACGTCTCCTTTCTTACCCATGATCCTAAATATGTCTAGAGATCACTTCGGATCCTGGATCTTTTTTTTCTAAAACAAACGCTTTAACCACTGCACCACGGCTGCTATAAATATATATATATATATATATATATATATATATATATATATATATATATATATATATATATATATATATATATATATATATATATATATATATATATATATATATATATATATATATATAATTGCTGTTTCTTCTTTTAGTATTTAAAAGGTCTATACGCTTTCCATTTCATATTCTGATCAATAAGTATTCTTAGAAATTTAGTTGTTTTAATTCTTTCCATACTTCCGATATTTTTATTCAGATACTTCCGATATTTCCGCTATTTTTATTTTTTATTTTCAGGTATATGATATTTTACTTTTCCTTTGATTGTAAAGGAATATGACGTTGTTATATGACGTAGTTGGTTTCTTTTTGTGTTCAATAAAAAAATTTTAAATTTAAACTAATTATTAAGTTTTTCAAGTTCAATACTTGTATTTTTGAAAACTTCTGCAATAGAAGTTGATGAATAATATCATATGCAAACATTGTGGCATTGAGTTTTTTTTAAGCTTTCAGAAGTTTATTAATGTATATTAAGAGGTGTCGGTGATCTAGAATAGAACCTTGGGGAATGCCACATTGAATTTTAAGCAATTTGAATGGAAATTTTCATCACTTTGTTGTTTGTTTATCAAAAAGTTATTATAAGGGATATTTTCAACACATTGTTTTTTATTTAATAAAAAGCTCTCTAACCAGTGTAAGGTAACAATTTTAATGCCGTGGTGAGTTATGGCTTCAGAACTCTAACCATTTCAGGTTAGCTGTGGCTTCAGAACCGGAGGTCCTGGTCATATATTATGCATCACTGGTAAGGAAAGGGGCGTAAACATTCTGGTTAAATGCTACTTCGCCGTGCTCTGTGATAAAATCTTATGGGCTTGTTTTGGGTCTAGTTAAACAAATTTTTCAAATTTTTTTTATAATATTCTCGTTTTATTAGTCGGTAGAACAAAATTAACCTCATATGTGTTTTTTAAATATTTTATGTAGAATTTATAATTTATTTTTGAAGATTTTTTTATTCCACTAATCCACGGACGGCTCAAATTATTAAATTTAGTTTCTTTTTCTTTGATCGGAAAATGGTTATTATAGAGTTTTTGGAAAATATCTTTTAATGTATTTCATGCGGAATTTGTGTCCTCGTGGTTGCATTCTTTATGTACTTTATTCTAATCTACTACTGGTAGTGTGTCTTTAAATTTTTGAATATAATTTTTGTTATTTTTACTTTTATAAATTTTGGTATTAAATTGTTATTTATACTTGTATTTTAATTTAGTAAACTGTGCCTTTTTTTGTCTGCCATTCTTTAAACTATAAAAAATAATTTTATGGCAAAACACATAAATTTAAATCAAAATAAAAAATGTTGATAAACTAAAACACTTTTTAGTTTCAATTATATATTCAGCATGAATTGTTTAACAGAAACTTGGTGGTTTGATACATCAATACCAAAAAACTCTAACTTTATAAATTCTAAACTGTAAATTATTTTCTGAAAAATAACTTTATTTATGCTTCTTATATTTTTGTGTATTGCCATAAAATTATTTTTGATTATTTAAAGTATTATAAAGTATCGTATTAATGGTTTTAATTCTTGTAATAAGTTAATAAAAAAATATAAAGACCAGTTTATTAAAAGAAATGATATTTTTTATAACTTTTATTTTTATTTTTGTTGTATTTTTTTTTATATATCATATTTTAAATATTACATTTTTATTTTTATTTACATTACTCAAATTTATTACTAGATTTATTTTGATATATTATAATATAAAATATTTATTCATATTATTGTTATTATATTTTAAGCTAATATATCTCTTAATTTTATTTAGTTTTTTTACTTATTTAATTTGATTTTAAAACTTTATTTAATATTTTTATTTTTGTTATACTTAACTACTTATTTTGCTGCTGCGTTATTGTTTAAACTACCATTATTATTATTATTATTATTTGTTATAAGTGTTGGTGTTTCAATTTTGTAATCACTTGTTTCTAATAATCTAATCATTAGTATTATTTTATTTTAACTATTATTAATAACATAGCTATTTACTTCCTATTTATTGTTTATTACATTCTCTCTAATATTGCATTTCCATTATGGCTTTAAGTTTGTGTAAAAAAATAAAAATTAGTCAAAGTTGCCGCTCAACTCAGTGAAGTGTATTTGTTTATTTAACGATACTTATTTAAAGTTACTTAATGATGCAAAGTACAATTTTTAATTGATGCAAAATTTGATGCAAAGTACAATAATTTTACAATAATTTACTACAATTGCGAAATCGTATATATCGTGTATATGGTGTAGACTGAACTAAATATGTCTTTCCATTCACAGATGTATCATGTTTAAATTACTATATTTTTTTGATTAAATTCTTAAAACTGATGATTTACCTATGTCTACAAACCTTTTCCCGTCTTTTCATTAATTAATTTTGATTTTTTTATTATCGATATAACTGAAACAAGGTTAAAAAAAGGAACAGCCTAAATTCATTAGATTCTCATTGATAATCACAACATAGAGCACACACCAACGAAATCTTCTTGTGGCGGTACATTATTATAAGAGATAATTTAATGATTTACACACTGAATAGTTTAAAACCCACATTTGTTCAAGTTATATTTTATAATAAGTCTAATGTTATCGTTGAGTGTATTTATACACACAATTTTTTTAATTGTATCATGTCTGTCCAATTTCAAAATATATCTGCTGAAAATAAATCTTTTTTCTTAATTTGCAATCATAAAATTAAACAAATTTAAGATCAAAAGATCTTATTAACATAAACAAGTTTAAAAGTATTTTTAAGAAATGTAAATATATGATAATTACTTTAATTAAACATAATAAAAAAATCCATTTAAAAAGTTTTTTCTCAGAAAATTTCTCTAAGAAAAAATTTGATAAACCATTCCCGAACTGTTTGCAAAAAGAAAAAAAAAACATACGAAAAAATTGAATTTTTGATATTTCGATCATTTGATAGGCAATTTATTGTAGATTATTAATATAAAAAGCTTATTCCCAACTTATTTTTTCATTTTTCGATAAATTAACTAACTAAAAAAACTTATATAGAAATGACAAGAATATTTAATCTTTTGCGTTTTTCTTCGTTTTTAAATTTTACGAATTTTAAAGTTTAAAAAAGTATTTTTTTTACTTGAAGTAAAAAAATTGATATAATTTTTTATGTTTTTTTTTTTTTTTTTTTTTTTGGTAGTAATTTTAGTAATATTTGGTAATTTTGATAGTATTTTGAAAATCTTAAAATCCAAACCTTAACTAACATGTCTAGAACAAATGTAAAAAATTTCATGGATTTTGTGTTAATATATTTCAAGTTATCGTGTTTTAAATTGACCCATTAAAATCAATGTTTTTCGATAAATTTGAGGCAAAGTAAAATGAAGTATACAATAGTATTAATGTAATTTTTATTGATATAAAATTTATCTTTTTTATTTAAGTTTGAACATTTGGTGGTGTACCATCTTAATATCTCATTCATAAATGAAACATTTCCTGTTATTTTGAAATTATTTTGCGCTATACCAATATTTAATAATGGTTATGATCTTTCATGCACTAACTGAAGACCTATTTCTCTTTTATCTAACATTAATAAGCTTCTTGAAAAACTTATGTCTTCTAGAGTGTATTCTTTTCTAAACTCATTTGATTATTTAAATGATTTTCGATTAAGATTTTAATTAAAACATCCTACTTGCTATCCATTAATAAGTATAACTGAAAAAATCAGAAAGCTCTTGATACTGGTCACTTCGTTTACGATGTTTTTGTCGATTTACAAATAGATTTCAATACCGTTAACCATAGTATTACGGTTTCAATCTTATCTTTCAGATCAAAAATAATTTATAAATATTAATGGTTTTAATTCTAGTTATAAATCAGTTTGGTGTGGTGTTCCACAAGGTTCTGTTCTTGGTCCTCCTTTATTGATAATTTTCGTTAACAACCTAACCAACTCTGTTCAC